CGTCCGGGCAGGTCGGGGGCCCTGGGGGAGCAGCCGGGCAGGTCGGTGGCCCTGTCATATCACGGATACAGAACACGTGTCACGGATACAGAACACGTGTCACGGATACAGAACACGTGTCACGGATACAGAACACGTGTCACAGTCACTGATCAGATATTTGTACTGCTGCAGCCCAGTGACGCGGGTCTGTGTTTTACTTCTAGGAGTTCCGAGTCCGTTGATGTTCCGGTTCTGGAGAGGAAATCCTCCGATGAATCTCTGGATTTGGATACAACTCCCAATTATAAAGCTCTAATAAAGGTGAGCCGAGTGTATCATGTATGTCTATGAAATGCCCTGTACTGGGAGGAAGGGCCCCCGGGCGGCGCGGGAGGAAAGGCCCCCGGGCGGCGCAGGAGGAAAGGCCCCCGGGCGGCGCGGGAGGAAGGGCCCCGGGCGGTGTCGTGTGCTTCTCCTGATGATCTCTGTCCATCTGTCTGGGGGAATGTTGCTCTCTGAATGTGTTCCTCCATGTTCCCGCTTGCAGTCGTTTCGGGAGCAGATTGAGGATTCGAGGAAGAAGAAGGAAGATTTGGTGAGAGAAAATGATCAGATGAGACGGGAGATGGAGAGCATAGGCGTGTGCTGATCAGTTTTGGGCGCAGGAAATATTCATGGTAGGATGCGGTGCGCGGCGCTCTTTGGGTTTTATGGATGATTGCTTGTAGTTTTGGCTCACATGCTGGCAGGCGGGCGGGCACATGTGCGTGGCGTTGCTGACCCTGATACAGAACTTCCACAGAGTTTGGGTTTTGTAGACTGGTCAGCCGGTATTTTCTGGTGTTATTACTACATGATCCCGGTGCTGCAAGGACGCACTGATCACCACCAAGTCACAATGCGTTGTTTTCTCGTGCCTTCCCCTCTGTAGATTCATAAAGGCCTCTATGTCAGAGATATTGTACATTGTGATGTGTTTCCATAGTGACCGTCACATGTCAGAGATATTGTACCTTGTGATGTGTTTCCATAGTGACCGTCACATGTGAGAGATATTGTACCTTGTGATGTGTTTCCATAGTGACCGTCACATGTCAGAGATATTGTACCTTGTGATGTGTTTCCATAGTGACCGTCACATGTGAGATCTCCTCTCTGTCCCCGGCAGACCTTCCGCCAAAGAATTCCGACTCTACAAGCAGCAGACGAGGAAAATGGAGAAGATTCTCCTCCAGAATAACATCCGGTGAGACGCCATATTGAGGGATAAATGACTGAACCGGCGTCCTGGGTCTGACTTGCTACAGGAAGGACTCTGAATTTGCTTTAGATTGTCAGCTCTGTGGGTGAGACATTGGAGGAACTGATCATGTGTGTCGTGTCATGGAGCAGGGTGCGGGGGAAGGAGAAGAGAGATGAGAGCGGTGCGGAGGAAGAATATACGGATCTTCTGCCGGCTGCTGAGTGTCGGCTCCATCTTCAGGTATCTCATCCTAGATGTCACTACTCCATATATACCGTCCTATCCCCGCCCGTCCTATCCCCGCCCGTCCTATCCTATCCCCGCCCTATCCTATCCCCGCCCTATCCTGTCCCCGCCCGTCCTGTCCTATCCCCGCCCGTCCTATCACCACGTGTCCTGTATACACACCTCATCCCGTCCTATCACCACCGTACTATACCACGTGTCCTGTATATACACCTCATCCCGTCCTATCACCGCCCGTCCTATCACCGCCCATCCTATCACCACCGTACTATACCGTGTGTCCTGGTTACACGCCTCATCCCGTCCTATCACCACCATCCTATCACCACATGTCCTGTATACACACCTCATCCCGTCCTATCACCACCATCCTATCACCACATGTCCTGTATACACACCTCATCCCGTCCTATCACCACCATCCTATCACCACATGTCCTGTATACACACCTCATCCCGTCCTATCCCCACCGTACTATACCACGTGTCCTGGTTACACGCGTGTCGTTGATTCATAGTTCTCATGTACTCTTTCTGTCCTCGTATAGAACGTGTGCCGAGAGCTGAATGTTCTGGATCTGAAGGACCTTGTACCCGCGGCTGCATCTAACCTGCGACAGGCGCAGACCTGCACAAAGCTGCACCAGGTAGACGTTGGGTGGAATTGGTGGCGTGGTCGTGGCGTGTGTTATGAATAGTGGACAACGTTTCACATATCAGAGCGTCCGTTCTGTCATGTTTCCAGCACGTGATAATCTGATTGGCTGCCGCGAGTAATACTCATTTCCGGGCTCTGAATGTTTGTGAATAGGAACCATTTTCTGTTCTTTGTGTTTCCCAGATCCTTTCTGACATCAGTTCGGTGGTCAGTGGCCCCCGGGCCCCTCAGCTGCTCTATAAACACAACCCTCGAGGAGGGGACACCTCGGACGGAGGAGACTTCATCCACCTTGTGCCAACCGTGGAGCTGTGGGCAGGACAGCTGCTGTCCCTGAAGGTACGGGGAGTGTCTCTCCCTTCTGGTGGGGGTTTTGTATGGAGATGAGGTGATACGTGACAGGTCCTCTTTTCTCTGGAAGGCCTTGCACCGAGCCCTGAGGAAGCTGAGCGACAATCTCCTGGCTGACCCGATGCTGAACCAACCGCAAGACTCGTCTGATGGCGTCCACGTGGAGGAACTTCTGCTGCTTGTGGACACCATGCTGGAGGAGGTGGAGAGCCGGAAAGAGGTGACGAGGAACCCCGACTCCCCAAACCCCAAATCGGCTCCAAATTCCCCCGAAATGTGTCCCGGAAATTCAATCTCTAAATGCCCCAACAATGGCGTCACGTGAGGACCTTCCTGACCGCTGAGGGACGGGAATGTTGGGGAGATTCTCAACCTGCTTTCTTATACACTCAATGACGGGGTTCAGGGGTCTCCAGTGATGGAGTTCAGGGGTCTCCAGTGATGGGGTTCAGGGGTCTCCAGTGATGGGGTTCAGGGGGCTCGAGAGATGGGGGTGAGGGGGCT